TATCAGTTATATTTTCTTGTTTGTAAACTAACTGTTGATGCCCTTTCATGGTCAATCTGTTGGAATCTTTTAATTTTTTTTAATGTTTTTATTTATTTCTGAGAGAGAGAGAGAGAGAGAATGAGAAGGGGAAGGTCAGAGAGAGAGGGAGACACAGAATTGGAAACGGGCTCCAGGCTCTGAGCTGTCAGCACAGAGCCTGACATGGGGCTCCAACCCACAAACTGCGAGATCATGACCTGAGCCAGAGTCAGACGCTCAACCGACTAAGCCACCCAGGCGCCCCAGTCTGTTGGAATCTTCATGTTTTCCTTCCTAATTCAGTTGAGTGCTTCAAAACAAAGAGAAGTCCATTTTTTTTAAGTTTATATATTTATTTTTAGGGGGAGAGAGAGAGAGAGAGAGAGAGAGAGAATCCCAAGCAGGCTCTGCACTGTCAGCAGAGGCTGAGGTGGGGCTTGAATTCACGAACTGTGAGATCATAACCTGAGCCGAAATCAAGAGTTGGTCGCTCAACCGACTGGGCCACCCAGGCACCTCAAAAGTCAATTTTAATGTAGCCACATCTGTCCATGTTTACTTTTGTGATTTGGGATAGCATGTAGTAAATGTGCAATTGGGGATTACTGAACGAATGAATAAGTTTTCTTCTTCTCCACTGCTCTGTGGGCTGTAGTCTTGGGTGGACCGCCTCTCCCTGGCTGGAGGACTTCTTGCAGTGAAGGAACAAACGAGAGACTCCTTACAAGCTGGTCAGCAGGAAGGCATGCCAGGACTGAGCATTCAGACCACTTTAATATGGAATCCTGGCTGTCTGGCTTTTCTTTGTCCTTTTTACTCCAGAAGGATGGTATGCAGATATTTTCCTTCACTTCTTGGGAGAGTCTGAAAGGTAAGCCCTCCTAGCTCTCAAGTTAAGAGACACTATTAATAGTTTTTTTTAAACTGGATAATGACTTTGGTTCTGCATTTAATAGAGCTTCATGAAATTTTTTAAAAAAATGGTTGTATTTGATGAGAAAGGAAATACCTCCCAGAAAGACGGAAGGATTTTTATAGAAAGAAAAGAAATAAATGGGGGATCCTGGGTGGCTCAGTCAGTTAAGCATCCAACTTCAGCTCAGGTCATGATCTCGCGGTTCATGAGTTCAAATGCCATGTCTGGCTCTGTAAATACAGCTCAGAGCCTAGAGCCTGCTTCAGATTCTGTCTCTCTCTCTCTCTCTGTTTCTCTCCTACTCACTATCTGTGTATGTCTCTCTCAAAAATAAATAAACATTAGAGGAAAAAAAGAAAGAAATGAATCAGGCATATTGCCAGAGCAGGTCCTGGTAACTTGGGGGGACTCTAGCCAAGTTTCTCAAGAAGGGAGAGGGCCTGCTGCCTGGAATAAGCCAGGCAGGCCAAGCATAAGGGCTCCAGGGCCCAGGGGCCAACAGGAACACACCCACCTCTCCAGAGCTCTGGAGTAAGAACTTCTCATTGTCTGTCCATGAGCCTATGCTGGGCGATCCTCCCAACAGCGCCAAGAAAGGATTTCACACTCCAGTGTCCCAGAGGAGTGATGCTCATCATTGTCACAAGGCTTTGCTGGGTCCCAGATGATAACACATGTGGACACTCATGTATCTAAATTAAGACCAGCAGCTGCCCATGAAAAAGGATCGGAGTCTTGAAGGAGAAGGGGTGGGGGAGTCCCTGGTAAGTACGTGTACTTCTGGGGGCTGCGCTGAAGTCTGAAGAAGTGTCGCCCTCATCACAAATGTGTGAACACACGTAAGTCATCCTCAGAAGGAGTTCAAACTGGGCAGTCGTATTTTTATGCAAGAGGTATATTCTTAAAGGCCTTCCGTTACTTGCAACTTGACTACTGTGAGATAAATCTCAACTCAGTTTATCTTTCGGCACTTTTAAGTTTTTCCCAATTCTACGCACAAAGTAAAACTATTAACATGTGTTAGATCAGGCTATTCCAAAGCGCATAATTCAAACCCACATAAAATGTCTAAGATACTGGGGAAGGGAAGACGGTGCAGGAGAGAACGGCGGTGCAGGGGAGGGGGCACCGGAGCTTTGCGCGCCATCCATCTGCAGACAAACCAACACTCGTGTCCCGGGCCAGTCCTGTCCTCCCAACTCAGGCCTCCTACACGCAGTGCTTTCCCTGCGGGACGGCCGAGGCGTTCCAACCACGACAGGCCCCACATTAGCCCCCGCCCTCCCCTCCCGCACCAGAGTCAGTCCCACTCTGAACAAGGCAACTCCGTGCTCCGGGGCCCTTCTACGGCACTTCTCTCCACTCCTGTGGGCGGGCAGGAAGGCAGGGCCCCATTTGTGCTCTGTCTCCTCACTGTGTCCCATCACTGCTGGGATCACTGCACCACCTCCTGTCTGCTCCCCCCGCCTCCCCCCTGTCTTTGTACAGGGTGCCTTCGATATGGGACTCGGAGAGACCTGTGTCCACGGCACCCTGGCCCCAACGCCCACAGGGGATTTCTCACGCAGGGAAGTAAGCGTCAAATCCATACAATGACTCTTAGGCCTTGTGCACCCCCCCCACCCAATGCCCGCCAGCACACACACACACACACACACACACACACACACAGTGCCAACCACCTCGCTTCCCTCCTCTCCTACTCACTCTGCTCTAACCCCCTGGCCGGCACGCAGGCTCCTCTCTGCCTGGACGCTCCACCCCAGATGCCCGCATGGCTCTGGGGATCGTCTCAGGGAGGCCTTTTCCACCTACCCTACTAAAAACTATGACTCCCTTTCTTCTTGCACAAACCTCCTCCTCCCTTTCTCTAAAGTTTCATTTCCTTCAATACTAGCTATTCTCCCAACAGACCATGCAACTTATCTGCTTCTTTAAAAAAAAACTGCTGTCCCCACTCTAAAACCCGACTTCCACAGGGGCAAGGACTTTGTCTGTGTCACTGCTCCACCCCCCACCCTAGAACACTGCCGACACGTGACAGTCCCTCAGTCATAATTCCTGAGCGAGGGGCTGAATCACGTAATTAACTTGCAGCAGCGCTGACAATAACAGACAGCCCCATCACAACATACATACGTCATGAGGGCCAAACATAATTTGGCCTTTATACAGGTGTTTGTAAAAAAAAAAAAAAAAAAAAAAAAACTATTAAAAAAGCTACTTAAAATTATAATACATTGGTAATTACCTGAGTAAATGATGATTCGTAAAGTAACATAATGGAAAATAGGTTTAAAAATGTTCCCTTCCACTGTTAATAAAAGAAATGCAATAATAATGCGTGTGGTAATACCCAATACCGGCAAGAGAGTGTCAAAAAGAAGCACTTCCAAGAAACACTAGTATGAAAATAATTGTTACAAGTATTACAAGTGTTCTAGAAATTTCCTTGGCCTTAAAAAACTGTGTGGATATGCTTTTATCCAATCATTACACTTCAAATGACCTATCCTAAGAAAACAATAGGAAAGAAGACACATTATATACAAAGACTCAAATCACAACAGTATTGAAAACAGTTGTTAAGTAAGCAGAACTCAACTACCAGGAACTAGAAGAGGAAGAAATACATTCTGACATTCTTCCCCACCTTCATCCATTCTTCCCGCTTCCTCACAGATGCGGTCCCTAAAGTGCCTCTGTCCCACCCATATCATTCTTCTGGGGGTGATTTCTCCAAACACTATGTTCCTTGCTTTCACACTTACAGTTATGTATTTTTTTGGTGCTTTTTTTTTTTTTTTTTTTTTTGGTCTATTTCATCCATTAGACTGTAGGACGCATTAAGGCAGAAACTCTGATTTGTTCGCTGGGGCAATTTTAAATTTACCACTTCTTGCACATAATAAGCATCCAAGACTTGTTGAATCAATGGATAAATGAACAAAACAGACTATCACACTGCCATCGAAATATTTCTGAAACACCAATGGCCTAAGAAATGCCTATAATATGATATTAGTAGAAAGAAACAAAAGTCACATTCAGTATCGTTTCAACCAGTGGAAAACAGACAGAAAAAAAAAATCACACTAGAAGAAAAAACAAACAAACTCTGTAATAGTAACTCTGGCTGGGTGCTAAAAATATGTGAGTGTTATTCATTCTGTTTCTATGCTTTTCTATATTTGATGCTTCACAAGGTTACACAGTTAATAAAATAATATATAAAACTAGAGGCAGCCAGGGGCGCCTGGGTGGCTCAGTCGGTTAAGCGTCCGACTTCGGCTCAGGTCATGATCTCATGGTTCATGGGTTCAAACCCCGCATCGGGCTCTGTGCTGAGACCTCAGAGCCCGGAGCTGCTTCGGATTCTGTGTCTTCCTCTCTCTGACCCTCCCCTGCTTACGCTCTCTCTCTCAGAAATAAAGAAGACATTTAAAAAATTTTTTTAAAAAACCTAGAGGCAGCCACATGAGCAGAAGCACGGTGACTTCAGGGGGTGACGCGGGCCAGCTGCTGTGGAGCAGGAAGCCGGGCTGGGACAGGCAGCTCTTACGGGGCGGACCTGGCTGGCGGACAGTGAAGAGGGCGTGGTCAGCGCTGGACTGTAGGAAGCCCTCCCGGGCAAACTACCGCCTACCGTCTGTTTCTGTGAATTGAGCTGTACTGGAGCACAGTCACATGCATTCACTGAAGTACGTCCTGCTGAGTGGTTACAACACAGACCACCGGGGGCCCAGGAAGCCTAAAACACTCACTGTGTGGGCCCTTACAGAAAACCTGCGCTGGCCCCTGGTCTACAGGACCTACTAGAGAAAGGAGAAATTACAGGAAGTAAGGGGAGGTGGCAAAGGCCATCGTTTCCAAGGTAACATGGAAAATGAGGGTAGCACATAGAGGAGTCTTGACAAATGCCTGTATGGACAGTCAGACGGAAGAACAGGAGAGGGCGCCTCCCAAAGGGTGAGAGGCGTTCACAGTGTGGACATCACTGTCACATTATTCCGTTCTATGTAACCGTGCAGCAGGGAACAGCAAGGACTGCTGGATGGCTCACCTGCCGCGTCGGCACTGTAGAGGCCGGCAGCTGCCGCAACGGGTCCCGGTGGGTGGATGGCGCTCGCCGAGGACCTCTGACTCGCAATCAGGATCCTGCTCTTTGCAGATGGTAAACGGGACATTGCCCCCAATCCCAACTGAGGCTTGAGGAGCATGGCCGATCGATAGAAAGTTGGAGGAACTTCATAATGAGTGTAGGATGGAGTACAAAACTCTTCTTTTCCGGGGCGTTCTGTAACCTACAATAAATGACCAGAAGCTTCATCAGAGAACATCACTGGATGAGTGTGAGCGTGGGCAGGAGCTCATGCTCCAGCTACGGCCACTCTGGTACCACTGAGTTGCCCATCACGGACCACTCACCTTCTCAGGGCCCCAGGCTCTTCATCTCTAAGTTAATAACACAACTGGATGACCTCTCAGGACTCTTGCAGTTCTAACACTCTGTGAATTCAAATTTCACTGGCGGGGAAAAAAACCCTCACTGTATAAGATTTTTATATTTGATTGCTACAAAATCAATGGCATCTGTGTGAGTAGCCAATCTATAAATACATAATCTCAAGGAAGCAGGGAAAGAGTTTAGCACATGTTCACGGAATTATGGATGTTTTCTTATTCCTAAGGAGAAAAGGCACAATGTTTATGGTAATCTACTCTTAACATAAGCAGGTGAACTCTACCGCTTTATGTGAAGGCTTTACTGGGTTGCTTAGGAAATAAAATATGCATTCTTAATGTGGGAGGAAAGGCTGTTTGGAAGAATAGAGCAGCTGATGGAAAAGTGTGTTTTCAGGCCTCTACGGTCTGTTTACCTCATTAAAAACGAGACATTGTGCATCACCTCCTTTGCCTTCCCTGGTAAGGTGCGGTGTACAGAAAGGAATGACAAGTTTCACTAGTGGGGAAGTTCCAGGGCAGTCTCGCTGACTGCTGAACGCATAGCGCCTAGAATGATGTCCAGTATGTAGCTGAAGTCAATAAATATTTATTCATTAAAGGAATCATGTTTCCATTCTTACCTAGGTTTTTGTTTTTGTTTTTGGCGGGGGCAGGGGGGCAGAGCACAAGTGAGGGGGCTGGCAGAGACGGGGACAGAGGATCTGAAGCGGGCTCTGCGCTGACAGCAGCGAGCCTGATGTGGGGCTCAAACTCTCACAATCTGTGAGATTATGACCTGAGCCAAAGTTGGACTCAACTGACTTAGCCACCCAGGTGCCCCCTTACCTGGATTTAATAACATAATAATCCCATTACTTTCCCTATAATTAAAAGTTTGGGCTAAAACACAAACTATATACCTTCTACATATGCAAGTCTGTACCCACATGGCCTATTCAAATTATTAGTGTTTCTTCATATTAAAAATTTTAAAAACTGGGGCGCCTGGATGGCTCATTAGTTAAGTGTCTGACACTGGATTTCAGCTCAGTTTATGATTCCACCACAGTTTGTGAGATTGAGTCCTGCATCGGGCTCCATCAGCATGCGGCCTGCTTGGGATTCTCTCTCTCTCTTCCCCTCTCTCTCTGCCCCTTGCTCTCTCTCAAAATTAAATTAACTTAAAAATATATATATATTAAAATATGAAAAAATAAGACAAACGATATTATTTAAAGTTTTAAAAAAATAGTGCCAGAGGCTATGTGTGAAAAGATACATCTGTTAGTTAACTCTGCTTTATTTTATTTATTTATTTTTTAATTTTTATTTATTTCTAGGAGAGAGAGAGACAGCGTGAGAGGGGAGGGTCAGAGCTAGAGGGAGACACAGACTCTGAAACAGGCTCCAGGCTCTGAGCTGGCAGTCAGCACAGAGCCCGACGCGGGGCTCGAACCCACGAACCGCGAGATCATGACCTAAGCGAAAGTCGGACGCTTAACCGACTAAGCCACCCAGGCGCCCCATAGTTAACTCTGCTTTAAATCACAATATATTATGTGTCAAACACTGATCTATTCCAGAATCACAAGTATTTAGCAAAATTCTTTAACTTTAAATTCTTTAATTCAGGAATTCTTTAAAGCTTTGATCCAAGCTGTTGAAGAGAAAAACTCTTAATTTGATAATCTTCTAATGTTGAAACAGATACAAAGTTCTCCTTAAATAGGCATTATTGAAACAAAAGATTAGGCCTTGAAAGTTGTATCATAATCACTGTAACATATACATGATTGCTGTAGCAGATAGACTGAATTCAGGCCACAGCAAGTTACGAAAGACATCTACTTCTGCTCGCCAATAAAATTTTGACCATTCCCTACATACCCTCTAACTATCAACCTTTGGCTTTTTTTGTTTGTTTGTTTGTTTCCTTTACTTATTTTTGAGACAGAGAGACAGAGAATGAGTGGGGGAGGGGCAGAGAGAGAGGGAGACACAGAATCCAAAGCAGGCTCCAGGCTCTGAGCTGTCAGCACAGAGCCTGATGCAGGGCTCGAACTCATGAACCGTGAGATCATGACCTGAGCCGAAGTCAGACACTTAACCGACTGAGCCCCCAGGCACCTCCTTTCATCTTTATTGACAGAATAAAACATGTGTCTCTGCAGTCGTGAGCACATAGCGCTTAACCCCACATGGTTTTATTCCTTCTTCTCTAATTGAGTATTTTTTAGAGAAATACTTTGGAAAGCAAACTAAAAAATCCTTGTGATTTCAAACTCCTAAAAGCAATCAAGGTACACAAATAAGTTAAGTCCTGACTAGGTTGCCCCTTTGCATATTTGCCTTGTCCTGTGTTCAGTGAGTTGGGCTGGTCTGGGCCTACACTGGGCAAATGCGGAGGCTTCAAGAAGCCCTTGGGACAGCTACAGGGAGGAGACTTGTGATGGCTAATCTTGACAACTTGGCTAGGCCACGGTACCCAGGTATTTGGTCAAAGATTATCCTACATGTTTCTCTGAAGGCATTTGAAAGGTGAGATCAACATTAAAATCAGTAAACCTTGAATAAAGCAGATTAGTCTTCATCATGTGGGTGGGCCTTGCCAAATAAGTTGAAGGCCTAAATGGAAAAAGACTGACCTCCCTTAAAGAAGAAGGAACTCTATCAGCAGATGGCCTTTGGAATTGAACTAGAGCATCACCTCTTCCCTAGGTCTCCAGTCTGCTGGCTCACCCTGCATACTCTGGACTTCCCAGTCTCCACAACTGCATACATAAAGTCCTTCAAGTCTGGATAGATACTTATGTGATACACACATACATACGTGTGTTATGGGAGTAGGAAGGGGAACCAGCCCTGATCAGACATCTGTATATTGCAAACACACTATCTCGCCTCATCTTCTTGCCCTTCCTCCCTTCTTCCCACCTCCTTACAAAAATTAAGAGTCCCCCAGGGCATCAGTAGCAAGAAGTGCCCCAGAGTTCTTAGGACAGGTGAAAGGAGACAACCGTCCACACCAGCAAGCATATTTTATCATCCTGGCACAACCAGATCCAAGATGGTCTTCGAAGCTCCTTCTGGAAGCTCTAAAAGTCTGTATTGTCCAGGCATCCAGGAAGAGCTGCCCTCTCTCAGAAGAGTCCTTACTGTTGACTTCTCCATGTCCACTAATGCCACCTAACCAGCAGGAATCTGTCAATAGTGATGAAAGAGTCTGAAGTCCTTGGGTTTGTCCTGTTAACATTTTTTCATTTTATTAAAAAGATAGATGATTCTAAAATTTGTATGAACCAGAAAAGACCTTGAGTAGCCAAAGTAATGTTGAAAAAGTAAAGCACAGGGGGAGGCATCATAATTCTGGACTTCACGTCATACTACAAGGCTGTAATCATCAGGGCAGCCTGGTACGGGTGCAAAAAAACAGACACATAGATCAATGGAACAGAACAGAGAATGTAGAAATGGACCCACAACTATATGGTCAACTCGCCCTCAACAAAGCAGGACAGTATAACCAATGGAAAAGAGACAGTACCTTCAACAAATGGTGCTGGGAAGACTGGACAGCAACATGCAGAAGAATGAAACAGCACCACTTTCTTACACTATGCACAAAAATAAATTCAAAATGGATGAAAGATCTAAATGTAAGATAGGAAACCATCAATATCCTAGAGGAGGAAACAGGCAGCAACCTCTTTGACCTTGGCCATAGCAACTTCTTACTAGACATGTCTCCAGAGGCAAGGGGAACAAAAGTAAACAGGAACTATTGGGAGCTCATCAAGATAAAAAGCTTCTGTACAATGAAGGAACCAATCAGCAAAACTAAATGACAGCCTATGAAATGGGAGAAGATATTTGCAAATGACATATCTGATAAAGGGTTAGTATCCAAAATCTACAAAGAACTTCTCAAACTCAACAACCAAAAAGCAAATAATCCCGGTAAGAGATGGCAGAAAACATGAACAGACATTTCTCCAAAGAAGGCATCCAGATGGCTAACAGGTACATGAAAAATGCTCATCACTCACCATCAGGGAAATACAAATCAAAACCACAATGAGACACCACCTCACATCTGTCAGAGTGGCTAAAATTAACAAGTCAGGACACAACAGATGTTGGCAAGGATATGAAGAAAGGGCCACCCTCCTGCATTGTTGGTGGGAATGCAACCTGGTACAGCCACTCTGGAGAACTTTGTGGAGGTTCCTCAAAACATTAAAAATAGAACTACCCTACGACCCAGCAACTGCACTACTAGGTATTGATTCAAGGATACAAAAATACTGATTTAAAAGGGCACATGCATGCCAATGTTTATAGCAGCACTATCAACAATAGTTAATTATGGAAGGAGCCCAAATGTCCATCAACTGATGAATGGATAAAGCAGATGTGGTGTGTGTGTGTGTGTGTGTGTGTACGTGTGTGTGTGATGGAATATAACTCAGCCACCAAAAAGAATGAAATGCTGCCATTTGCAACAATGTGGATGAAACTAGAGTGTATCATGCTAAGTGAAACAAGTCAGTCAGAAAAAGACAAATACCATATGACTTCAATACCATATGACTTCACTCATATGTGGAATTTAAGAAACAAAACAGATGAACATAGGGGAAGGGAAGGAAAAATAAGATAAAGACAGAGAGGAGGGAAACCATAAAAGACTCTTAAATAAAGAGAACAAACTGAGGGTTGCTGCCGGGAAGGTGGGTGAGGGGTGGGCTAGATGGGTAACGGGCACTAAGCAGGCCACTTGCTGGGATGAGTACTGGGTGTTACATGTAAGCGATGAATCACTAAATTCTACTCTTGAAACCAATAGCACACTATATGTTAACTTAAATTTAAATAAAATCTTAAGGGGGGAAGATCTATGCTTTCTACAACGGAAAAATAGTTCCATTGCAATGGGTCAGAATGTGTTCTTTCCCTGGAGGCATGCTGAAGCCATCCTGTGGCACGGTGGCTGTGGGGCCTCCCTGCGCCATGCCTGGGTGGGGGAACGGGAGGGGGGCCCGCTGGGTTGCCTCCCCTGGCGACATGGACATCAAGCCACAGCTCTAGGAGCAAAGGCCAAGGGCCAGCCTGTTGGTGTAAAGAAGATTACGGCAGAAATGAGCCCAGTGCAACGTCTGAGGCTTCTCTGCTCTGTCTTCCAGCCTGAAGGAAGGGCTGAAGACAGTGATTACGGCACGACACAGCCCCAGAGTGGTGCACGCTGGCACTGCCGATCCCTACAGGTGGGGGTGTCTCCATCCCCTCACACTACCAACACCCCACAAACACCTGTACATCCCGTTTCCTCGAGACTCAGGGTGGCTTCCAGAGGATTAAGAATAGAAAAAATATTTGAGGGGGGAAAATGTGCATCTAATTCAGAAATTATCTATTATGTATTTATTTTTAATTTTTTCAATGTTTGTTTATTTCTGAGAGAGATAGAGAGACAGTGTGAGCAGGGGAGGGGCAAAGAGAGAGGGAGACACAGAATCAGAAACAGGCTCCAGGCTCCGAGCTGTCAGCACAGAGCCCGGCACGGGGCTCAAGCCTACAAACCGTGAGATCATGAGCTAATCCGAAGTTGGACGCCCAACCGACTGAGCCACCCAGGCGCCCCAGGAATTATCTATATTTTATGGAAGGAACAGAAACAATACAGAAAAGAAATACACAAAACCAGAATTAATAAGGGTCACAGAGAAAGAACTACGGCCAGTAACAGGATGTCTGCCTATGCTTACCAATAACATTTCTCCCATGGAAGGGTTTTTACAGAGAATAATCTGGGGGGGGGGATCTTTTTTGGTGGAGCCCCCCTCCTCCAAAAATTAGTTAACTGAAGAAATAGTACAAATGAAGAACTTAAGTGGACACGTGGATACAACTTATAGAAATGCTTGCTGACCAGGGAGTCATCTCAGCGGCTACGAGAAGCCGCGGAGGTTAGCTCTCCTCACTGTCCCTTAGGGCGTGCCTGTCAAAGAGCTAGATTTAAGGGCGGGACCTCACACGGGTGGTTTCTTCTGCAGCGATTCAATGAGAAGAAGGGTCTTCGGTTATTTAACCAGCTTTGGCACCCGCAGCCCTGGGGAGGGTCAGATGGCTGCTTTTTAAGCTCCTGGCAAGAACGCACGCCTCAGCAAGCGGCCTAAGGTCAGAGCCCGATCTCAGCCCTGGAGGCCCAGGAGGATAAGATTTTAGAACTCAGAGAAAGACCCGTTAACCAGCTCGAAGACTGATGTACATATAAGACCGGAGAGGCATCAACTGTTTGTGAGATGCCACTGCCGAGGGCCAGGCTCTTAACGTCCTCTGGCCAGAACATTCTCTCCCTGCAGGACTCCATTTGAGAGGCCCGCTCAAAACAGGACCACATGAAGTCCTGCGTGGTGAAATAAACCCCTGCCAAAAAAGAAGGGGCCCCTGAACTCTCTGGTCAGTGCTCTCTCTGTAGAGAAGGGAGGTGGGAAGCCTCTCTGGCAGGCCCAGAGTCCAGAGACGCTGCGCAAGCTGTGTGATGTGAAGCCAGCAGCCTGCCCCAGGGGCACGGCAACGGCCAGCCTGCTGGGGCACCTGCTCAGTGCTAACCTGGGTCAAGACTTGCTGCTTAGAATCGATCCACCTGATTTGCTGTGCCAGCGCTGACCACTTCTGCTGCGACTGCTCCATTCTAGAAACATGTCAAACTATTCCATCACCCTGAAGTCCAACGTGGGACTCAGCCTTTCCGTCTCTAAGAAGCTTTGGCTGACTTCTGTCCGGATCCAATACACAGAGTTCATAATTCAGCTCTCATTCAACATTTCCTGATCAAATATCTATGTCAACACTGTTCTAAAGTCTGGGAACCCAGCAGGGAACAGAAATAGAAAGTCTCTGCTCTTGTGGATTTTACATTCTAGCTGATGAACCAAAAACACAAAAAGTATGTATACCAAAGGGAGATAAGCACTAAGAAAAGATAAATTAGAGACAGGGGTCTCAGGGAAAGTGAGGCATCTCTCCAATGAAGAGACACTTGAACAGAGACAGAAAGGAGAGAGCCATTCAGAGAGCAGGGAGAAGAACACTCCAAGAAGAGAAGGTGCAAAGGCCCTGAGGCAGCAGAGGGAAAGGGAGTGAGCAGAGGAAGGAGAGGAGATTGGGGGAGGTTATGGAGCCAGACTGAGTACATCCTAAAAGCTGAGCCATCCTACATGCTTTATCCTGTGTTCTGAGTAGCCGGGCAGGCCTGAAGCGTGGCAGGGAGGAGAGCAATCTGGTCGACCTCTCCTTTTAGCTGATCACTCTGGCTACCACGAGGAAATTATTTCAGGAGACAAATCTACTTTCTGAGCCCTGGGAGGACAACTCACCATAGCACCCAGAAACAAAAAGGGCAGCACAGTGAAGAACCTGGCGGGGGGCGGGGGGGACAGGGGCAGTAGGCGAACATCTTAGCACTGTCTTTGTTCTGTGGCTTTAGCTGAGTCACTCCAACCCCTCCAAATCTGTTTCTTCATCTACACAGTGATAAAAACTGTAATCCCAACCTTCAGAAAATCATTAGAAGGATTAGTGAAGATTGGTAAGGATACAATATTATGTTATGTGGGCTTAAGGCATAGTAGGTGCTCAACTAAACATTAGTTGTAATTATTATTTTATTTCAAAATAAAGAGCCCATGCCTAATACATTACTTGCTACTCACATGTACGAATATGAGATTCTCTCATAAGGAATATACTCCCCCTGAGAGGATGAAGTCGGACCAATTTGAACAATATATTTATTTTGGATTCCGCCCCCCCCCCCATTGATCTGGCTTATAAAACACGTAGGCTCACTTAAACACGGAAGCCAATTTAAATGGATACTTATCTAATCTCACGTGTATTATGCAGAGTGGAAGTTAAATGAGTCTCCTTAGATGTTAGCTATATCTCATCATATCATCAAAGTCTTCTAGTCAAAAATGCTCATTTGTCTGCAGGGCACCTGAGTGGCTGTCGGTTAAGTGTCTGGCTCTTGGTATCAGCTCAGGTCATGATCTCACAGCTCATGAGTTCAAGCCCTGTGTGGGGCTCTGTGCTGACAGGCTCTGTGGAGTCTACTTAGAATCCCCTCTCCCTCCTTCTCTCTCTGCCTCTTTCTATCTCTCAAAATAAATTAACTTTTAAAACATGCGCATTTGTCGACAAGCCCCTCTAGTTAAAAACATCCATTTCTGAGCAAATGTATCCGTCAAAATCTGCAATTTGCTAAGAGAGGATATTCTATTTTCACAATTCACAGTGAAAATAATAAACTTTATGATGTTCGACTTACAGACGATATCATAATGACAGTCTCTTACCTCCTGCAAAAACTTTTCACTCATTTGACTGAAATGGTGGCCGGGGGGCTTGATCCCGGACACCATCAACCCAGAACCAAAGACCCGCGGCTTCTGCAAGTCTGGCTTGAACTTCTCATACAGGCTGGCAGGCGGCTTCAGGTCACCGCCTGCTGCCTTCTCCTCTTTGGGAAGGGGCATGGTGCACGCGGGCGGAGCGTAAGGGAGCCCCACTGGAACCAGCGAGGTGTCCACCTGGCCGAGGGCCTGAGGGCTCCTCCTGATGTAGGTGATGATCTTGGGCCTCACGTGCTTGGGCTTGGGCAGAACGACGGGCTTGGCTTCCGTCCCTTCTTCCGCTGTCGCCACCTGCTGCTTCTCCGTCCCGTCCTGGCGGGCCAGGTTGCCTTCAGAACGTGGGAGGGCAGGCTCGGGGACCCCGATGGGGCAGGGGCTCCTGTCAGGCACTTTCGGGGGGGTGTTTGACAACCGCACACTCTCGGTGGGGGGGACAGCAGCCGGGGGGGGCCTCGCATCCGCACCCGATGCGCCTGAGACCTGAACGTTGCTGCTACTAGGTGGCGTAGGCTGGTGGGTCACATTCACAGTTGGCTCTAGGTGGAGGGGTGCCGGGACACCCAGAGGAGCATCCGCTCCCCCTGGGGGGCTTCCAGGCTTAGCTGCGCCTTGTAGAAGGTTCCTGTTTTCTGCAACAGATGCAGTGATCTCTTTGCTGTCCCCTACTTCTGAGCTGCTGCTCCGAGGGTCAAGGGGCTCAGGGAGCCCGGCGTTGCCCTCTCCGACAGAAGGATGTGAAGTGCAAGCTGCAGCACCATCCAGGTTTGCTCTGTCCAGGGCTGTCTCCTCACTGACCTCTGAGGGCCTGCTGTCCAGTGGAGAAGAAGGGAAAAAAGGAACCTGGCCATCTCCTGACGACACGCCAGTGGATGCCATGTCGCCAAGCTTCCGAGCCGCACTCGATGGGATTTTACCAGTGGGCTGCTTATTGGCAGCTCCCAAGGGAGCAGGGCCCAGGAGGGTGGTCTGAAGAGAGCCCTCCTCACCCAGGCTGACTGCCCTCTGGTCCTGCTCGCGCCCGCCCCTTCCCACACCAACGTGGTGGAGGCTGCTATGTGACAGGCTAAGAGCCCCGGTGGCGGCTTCCTGCTGTGCTTCCCCACCAGGCTCCCTTCCTTCCGGGGATGACACACTGCCTTCCTTCGGGCCTCCCACGCAGCCCGCCTGGGCGGACTTGAACTCCGGCACAGCCTTGGGTTGGCCACCCTTCAGCTCCGGCCTGGGCTCTCCAGTTCCCTGACCTGGTTGTGCTTCTGGCTTACTCGGGGGTCCCTTCGGGGCCGGAGCTGGGTCCGGACCAGGCTCTGGAAGGGCAGGATGTGCTGTGCTCTCACCGCTGACTCTCGGCACGCGTGGCCCCTCGGTCTGGGTCTCTGAGGGGGTGGTCCCCTTGGTGGCTGAGGTAGATGGTTTAGGATGACGCACACTCTTTCCCTCTAAGGTTCTGTCAGCTGGAAGAAAAGCTGCCCCTAGAGCGGGGGCTGTTGATGTCTTCTGCGGCCGCTCCCCACCACCGGGCTCACGCCGCACGGCTTCAGGGCCATCCAGCGGTGTGGGCCGCGGACACTGCCGGCCGAGGCTCCCGCCACGCTCCCTCAGGGACAGGTCTGCCACAAGAGCAGAGCTGCCAGCCCTTTCCAGCGAATGCCTTCTCAACTCCTCATTGTCAAGGGTCTTTGCCAGCTTATCCTTAGGAGCCTGCCGGGGAAGCTCAGCATCCCTTTTAGCCAAAACCTCTGGACTGGCCTCAGCCATGACATTCCTCCAACCTGACAGGCTTGGTCCCTGAATACTCCAAGGAGTCTGGACGATCTCTGTGCCTCTCTCCATCGTGTGCTCTTCACTTAGTCCTCCATGAATGGTCGAAGGAAATTTAAAGTCTTTCAGGCCGGTGGGGACAGCCTGCAGTGCTTTCCCAAAGCCCTGAAGTTGGTGAAATTCCTTACCAAAGTGGGTACTATTGTCCGGCTCCCTTGAATTTGCATTTCCAATTTCAGCTGTCAGGTCACGTGTCTCAGACTCATCAGGAGAGGAACTGACCTCCAACATGATCTGATTGGCATTTGTATCTCCCAGGCTCAGGATCCTCTCGTTATTATTTTTCACTCCATTTCTGTTGTCCCGCAACTGAGCGTAACATGATTTCTTCGGAGCCACAGGGACACTCATTTTCAACCCTTTGGTGGGGGCTGCCAGCCATGCAGTCCTGCTTAATGGGAAGGTGCTGCCTTCGAGCTGCTATCTGATTAGTAGGAAATCCTCAAGCTGCTTGTTGTCCCAACTGTATCACGTTGCAATGGCATTTGAATCATTTTCAGAGCGTTTTTTTTTAAAACCAAGCATCGTCTTGATATACAGCAGGATGACTTCTCTGTTTAGGTTCCTGCTGCGTGGGAGAGTCAGTCAGTCGATGAGACCTAGAGAGAAATAAAAATAAAATCGAGTTATCGGCATTGACAAACAGAATCTCAGGAGGCAAAGGCATGCAGAACACAGCTTTGTTCATCACTTTCATATTATTAATTCATTCGCTCAGCCCACAGTTTTCTCCAAAGCCTTTCTGATAGGGTGCCTGCTGGCCAAATACGGGGAGATTAAAACATAAAAATGATTAATGCTAGAAATGGATTATAAAACATATTAAACCTTAAATTCAAATTTTAAAATCCACAGGTTCCTACTGATGGCTGATTTAAAGGCTGGAAGAGAAGAGAAAGCTCACCTTCAGAGAATAATCTCAACACACATAAGAAAAATCACAGTTAGAAAAGCCACTATGTTGGAATCACACGAGGTAATTATCATCTTGGGTGAGGGGCATCAATGGTTGCTAAAAAGACTAGTGGAGAACAGGATGTTCACAGAATCTTAAGGGATCATTCTCCAGATTACTCTCTTTCTTACACAAGGAAAATCTTACCTTTACAACAGAGATACACCACCCTAACCAAGTGATCAAGTTTAACACCAATAACAGAAATCGATATTGTGTGCTCCTGCCATCAGGTAGTTCTCAGTGCCTCGTCACCAAGGCAGTATTCTTGCTATCAATGTTCAACCTAAACTTAATCACAAGGAAGTAATCAGGCAAATTTAAATTGATGAAGAATTTACAAAATCACTGGCCCACACCTGCCCCGAAAATGCCCATGGATATCTACATGCAATGCCTGATCCTTGACCAGATCTTGGATTTTTACAAAAAAGTTAGCAAATGACATTACTAGGACAATGAGACATTTAAAATGGGTTGTATACTGCATCAAGGTATTTTGTCAATGTTAACGTTCTTGGATGGATAACACTATGGTGAGTGTACCTGAGACAGTCTTTGTTCTTGGAAGATACATGCTTTTAAAACATAATATGCTTTTTGACATGACATGTGGTAACTTACTCTCCAATGGTTCAGCAAAGACAAAAGTGTGTGTGTGTGTGTGTGTGTGTGTGTGTCTCTGAAAAAGAGAAAGTAAACAGAACTGTGCCAAATGATAATAATTTGGAAATCTAGGTGATCCACTCTACAAACCTGTAACTGGTCTACAGGTTTGAAAATTTCCAAAATAAGAAGTTGGAGGAAATTCTATCCCAGCCTTTGGGGCCTGCAGTGTCCAGTCCCTATACACCATTCCAGCCTCACCTACACTGCTAATCGTCCCAGGCTGCAGGCACACTGTCCTGATCCTCCACATTATGGGATACCTCCTTCGCTGCCTCGGGGCCTTTGCACAGACTCTTCCATCTGCACAGAATATGGATTCTTCTCCCAACATTACCTAACTCCTTCATAGTCTTCAGTTTGCACCATAAATACCTCTTCCTCTAGGAAGCCTTCCTCACCCACTAAAATAGATTAGGTCCTTCTATGATAAACTTTCACAACATCCTATATTTTGACTTTTAAAAAAATCTTCAAATGTGCCGGACACTTGAAGAAACTATTGTTCGATGCCTAGCATCTGCATTAGGCACTTAATATGTATTTGCAACATGAAAGAAGAAATGAATGAATGATGGAGATCATAGTGATGATGTTATTTCTGCCCTCAAAGAGCTTAAAATCTAATACCGTATTTAAATTTCTATTAGGCAGAATCACAGATCATCAGTGAACCATGCAATTCAAGGCTAACATTTGTCCACTACTGTGAGTGCATTTTATTAGGCACGGGGGATGGGAGAGCTTAAGGAACACAGTTCTGCGCCATCCCCAATCCCCCAGCGGGGATTCAAAGTTAATAGCCTTCCACCTCTTCCTCCTGGTCCATACACGTAGGCACGTACACATCACCTGGGAAACTGTCTTTATGTTTCTGTTGAAATAGGTTACATGGCAACCCGCTTGTCTCCATTACTGCTGACTATGTAATTGCATCTATCTAAAAGATGATGTGTGAATACATCCATATATATTCATGTATATAAACACACATACGTACATTTGGATGGATGTTACTCAGCAGAATGACATGATGAACCCCTGAGGACAATTTCCAGTAATATGCAGCTACCTCTATGCTCCTCTCCAGCCCAGCCCCCTCCCCTCCTAACTTTTCCCTTGGCTACCTCCCATTGGCACCCCCCCAAAACCTCAGCTAATAAAACTCTCATTTCTTTTGCATCTATTACATTCACATGTATTTTTTACATAAATGAGATCATGTCCTAGAAGCTGGGGTTTTTGTGTGGTTTATTTGCCCCTTCTCCCTCCCTCACCCCAAGACACATTAACAGCCTCACCTGGGTCTTGCCATTCCCTTCCCCATGTCTGTCTAATCCTGTCCAAACACACACCCCCGTATGTGTGCGGGCACTCTCGTTCCCTGGCATTCTGCTCATCTGTTCTTCCCATGTGGGGCTCACTGTCTTCCCCTCTCCACCCCACCCCACCTCTGCCTTCATCCCTAGCTCCCAATTCCCCTTCTCCCTCTTGGCCGCCTTTCAGGCCTGTCTTCATTAAGCTACTGGTGCCCTGGGTCCAGCCTCACCACAATATAGCCCCCAGGACTCACCAAGATGCTCACACTCCAATCCTAGCCTCTGTTCCCTGACAGAGAGGGGATTCTCAGTGAATCCATCTTTATTTCTTTATTCAAGTTAAAACGTATTTTCCTTGAAGACATGCATATCCTCTGGGCACAGATACAAAAAGCATGTAGACAAATCAATAAGACAGCAGTTTAAAAGAACACTGTGCTCTCTGGGTCAGAAAGCAGGTGTCTCAGAAAGCCAAGGAGAGCAAGAAATCCCACAAGTATGGGCCATCCACAGAACGTGAGTGCCTCTAATTTTCTGTGGACAGAATTATAAGCATGAAGCCAGAAGTCCTCTGGTTTGAACTCTCAAGGCTGGGAGAAGGAAAGAAATAAATTTTTTCAACAAGGACAGACAAAACTGTAGTATCATATACAGCAATCCACACGTGATTGTTAGAGCGTGACAAACAAGTGTCAGTGCTTGGCTAAAAAGGGTTGTATTTTAATTTTTAAAGAATTACATAATAAATACCTTTTTCTTTGTCAGTAAGTGATTAATGTCACACATTGGTACGGGAATGGAAAGCTAGGACCTCCTACGGGCCAAGTATTATTCTCAGCATGAATACATATTAGTAAAATTTAATTTAACTTTTAAATATAATTTTGTTTAATCTTTAAATTAAGCTATTTAATATTTGTAATGGTCCCCAGAGACAAATCTCAATATACCCTTGCTTTTTCTTTGCCCTCCGGGTAAGGAAATGAAAGCACAGAGAAGGTAACAGTCCCAAGGTCACACAGCCAAGAACGTGTGACAGTGGCAGTGAAAAAAACAGAAGGAAAGTTAAAATCCATGCAGAAAGTTGAAGCTTTACAAGGAAGATCTGCCTATTGGTGAAATTATATAGATCACAAAGAAAGAATAAAAGGAAAAGATACCACCAAAAGACCCAGAATAGAAAAGCAAAACCAGAAACCAAACAAGGAGAGAAAGCTCACCTAAGAAGAGAAAGGCATTTGAAAACCTTCTTCGGGGGCACCTGGGTGGCTCAGTCAGTTAAGCATTTGACTCTTGATTTCTGCTCAGGTCATAATCTCACGGTTCTCAAGATTAAGGCTCACGTCAGGCTTTGTGGAGCCTGCTTGGGATTCTTTCTCGCCCTCTCTCTCTGCCTCTCCCTTGTGCCCTTTCTCTCTCTCAAAATAAATAAACATTTAAAAAGAAGAAAAAAAAAACCCTTAAATCATAGAAAGCAAAATGTTGTACAGCAGGTACTGTTTCCTCTTTCTCTTCTGGCCCAGGCTTTACACCTCCCCCTGCAGAGCTCCATCACATGCCGGAAGTCAATCACAGGGTCAATATGAGCAAAAGTTTTTCTTTTTGTTTTTGTTTTCTGGATATGGATTCAGTCCAGGGCACCCAACTAAATTAAACATTTTTTCCCCAACATGAAACACGATCATACAAATTCAGACTCTTAATACAGGATTGTATGATTAAACAAGAAACACAAATATGTCAGCCAACTGTGCTAAGCGCCCCCACATGAGGTCCATTTTCCCGGAGTCAGGCATGCAATTTTCATATACTTCACATATACTTCACATAAGTGATGACCTCAGAGGTCAATGATATTTTATCTTGGAAAAAACAGCCATTAATTAACTCCTGGGTCCAAAAGGAATTTAAAGATTTTTCTAGGTTCCTGGCCTATCTGATGCTTAATAGTCTTCAGGTATCACCCCTCGTGCTATGATGAAAACCCCAGTGTCAGAAGATCACCAGCTCTTGGCAGCCTGTCAGCCCTCCGGGCACGGCCAGCATCGAACTAGCCCCGAGTGGAGACCTGCCTCTTTTTTTTTTTTTTTTAGGTTTTTTTTT